TTTAAATTTCGGATTTTTGAGCCTTTTTATTGTTTTTTTTCCCCGGGATTTTTTTCTGGGGGGTGGGGGAGGGGCCGGATGATTTCGGGGGGTTTTTTTTTGGCCCCCATTTTTTTAAAAAAATCCCCAAAAATCCCCAAAATCCGCCAAAATCCCCAAAAATCCCCCAAATGCCCCAAAAATCCCAAAAAAAGCCCAAAATCCCCCAAAATCCCCCAAAATTCCTTACCTGGAGCGGCGGCGGCGCCGCGGCCGCGGTGGGGGAGGGGCGGAGGGGGGCGGGGCTTCCGGGGAGGGCCCCGCGCTGATTGGCTGAGCCCGGAGGCGGGGAAGGCGCTGATTGGCTGAAAGGGGGGATGGGGAAAAGGGGGCGTGGCCAAAGCGCGGCCGGGGAGCCACAAAGGGGGGGAGGGGCGGGGGGAATTTTGGGGGATTTTGGGGTTTTTTGGGAGGATTTTGGGGTTTTTGGGAGGATTTTGGGGTTTCAGGGAATTTTGGGGTTTTTTTGGGAGGATTTTGGGAAATTTTGGGGGGTTTTGGGAGGATTTTGGGGATTTTTGGAAATTTTGGGGGTTTTTTAGGAGGATTTGGGGGTTTGTGGGAATTTTGGGGTTTTTTGGGAGGATTTTGGGGATTAAGTGATTTTTTTGGGGTTTTTGGGGAGGATTTTGGGGTTTCAGGGAATTTCGGGGTTTTTTGGGACGATTTGGGGAAATTTTGGATTTTTTGGGGAGGATTTTGGGAAATTTTGGATTTTTTGCGGAGGATTTTGGGGTTTGGGGAAAATTTTGGGGTTTTTTGGGAGGATTTTGGGGATTTTTGGAAATTTTGGGGGGTTTTGGGAGAATTTTGGGGTTTGGAGGAAATCTTGGGGTTTTTTTAGGAGGATTTTGGGGTTTTGGGGAAAATTTTGGGGTTTTTTGGGAGGATTTTGAGGATTGGGGGAAATTTTTGGGGTTTTTGGGAGGATTTTGGGGTTTCAGGGAATTTTGGGGTTTTTTTGGGAGGATTTTGGGAAATTTTGGATTTTTTGGGGATTTTTGGAAATTTTGGGGGGTTTTGGGAGAATTTTGGGGTTTGGAGGAAATTTTGGTGGTTTTTTGGGAGGATTTTGGGGTTTGGGGAAAATTTTGGGGTTTTTGGGGAGGATTTTGGGGTTTCAGGGAAATTTTGGGTTTTTTGGGGAGGATTTTGGGGATTAAGTGATTTTTTTGGGGGTTTTGGGGAGGATTTTGGGGTTTGGAGGAAATTTTTGGGGGTTTTGGGGAGGATTTTGGGGGTTCAGGGAATTTTGGGGTTTTTTGGGAGGATTTTGGGAAATTTTGGATTTTTTTGGGAGGATTTTGGGGTTTGGGGAAATTTTGGGGTTTTTTGGGAGGATTTTGGGGACTAAGTGATTTTTTTGGGGTTTTTGGGGAGGATTTTGGGGTTTCAGGGAATTTCGGGGTTTTTTGGGAGGATTTGGGGAAATTTTGGATTTTTTGGGGAGGATTTTGGGAAATTTTGGATTTTTTGCGGAGGATTTTGGGGTTTGGAGGAAATTTTGGGGGTTTTTGGGAGGATTTTGGGGTTTCCAGAAAAATTTGGGTTTTTTTGGGAGGATTTTGGGGATTCGGGGAAATTTTGGGGATTCGGGGATTTTTTGGGATTTTTTTTCAGGTGGCTTAAGGGTTTTTTCGGGAATTTGGGATTTTTAGGGAGTTTTGGCTTATTTTGGGGATATTTTAGTCTTTTTTGGGCGTTTTGGGGTGGATTTGGGTTTTTTTGAGGTGCTTTTGGGTTTCTGTGGATATTTTAGGAAATTTTGAGGGTTTTTGGGAGGATTTTGGGTTTTTAGTGGGGATTTTGGTTTTTTGGGGGGTTTTTGGGAGTGATTTCGCGTAAAATTTTGGATTTCGGGATTAAATTTGGGGCAATTTGAGGCGATTTGAGCTTTTTTTTTTTTTTTAGGGGAGGGGGGGAAGTGAAGCCCCAAATTTCCAAAATTTCCCCAAATTTTTTTGGGGGACCCCCCCCCAAAATAAAACCCAAACCCGAGTCGGGGTCTCTGCATCTCCACCACCTTTTATTGCCCAAAAATCCCCAAAAATCCCCAAAACCCCCCAAAATCCGGGGGTGGGGGAGGGGCCGACCCCTCCCCCCCCTTTCCTTTCAACCCAAATTTTTTTTTAGGGAATTTTGGGGTCTCGGGGGGGTTCGGGGTCGCCCCAATTTTCGGGGGGGGTCCCCAAATTATTTGGGGGGTCCGGTGACGTCCTGGGGGTCTCCAAATTTTCGGGGCTCCCCGAATTTTCAGGGTTCCCGAAATTTTCGGGGTTTGGTGACGTCATGGAGCTCCCCGAATTTTCAGGGTTCCCGAAATTTTCGGGTTTTGGTGACGTCATGGAGCTCCCCAAATTTTCGGGGCTCCCCCAATTTTCGGGGCTCCCCGCACGGCCGGCGCCGCCGCGCCCCCAGCCCCCCCAGAACTCGGGGTCGTCGTCGTCGTCGCGCTCCGGCCGCGGCCCCTCGGGGGCGCTCTCGGGGTCCCCCTGCAGCTCCTCCAGCTCCTCCTGCCGGGGGTCCGGGGGGACCTCGGCGAACAGAACCTCGCGGGCGACCCCCGAAATCCAGCGCTCGTGGGGCGGCAGCGCCGTGAATTTCGGGGGGACCCCCGGGGCTGGGGGGGCGGCCACGCCCAGCAGGAACCACAGCCCCCGCTCCTCGCA